CTGTATGCAAAACGAATGCGTAATCTTACTCGAGATGTGCTTTTAAGTCTAACATAAAACGCGATTACATGACATAATGTTTTTCTAAAAAAAAGAAAAATAATACTAAAGTAGTGAAAAAATATTTTAAATAATATACCATTTAACCCGGGTCCAGGTCTTCTTTCGAGAGAATAATTTTGATGATACTAATTTTTTTATTTAGTATCAAAAAATCATGACCTTCGCAGATCATCATTTATGAGTGTCCAAAAAAAATATCAACTTTCTGCTTAGTCATTGGTTATAGAGAATATATACTATTCGTTGAGTGTGCGTCTTTTGCGAACCTTTTTTCTCGGGAGAGCTAAAGCATCTTTTACTGTGTTTGCGATATTATATGCCTGGTTTCCTGGCTCATTAAGTGCAGCTTAATAGCGGGGAAGTTTAGTCGTTCAAAGTGTATATAATATGCGCCTCACAGGTGTGTGTAACAACTTTGGATTTGCATCTATAGAAAAAAATATTAGAACCCACTTTAGTCCACAGATATATTGCTTAAAATTATATTGATAATTGTTCAAACAAACTTTTAACAGTTATTTATTTTAATGATAATTTGCGAAGACGGAAACAAAAAATATTGCAATAATTAAAATGTCAATTTAGTCTCTTAACGAGTTTCCTTCCTCTCAAAAAATTGAATGAATCTCGCGTGATCATAAACGAATAAATAAACTACGTTAAATGCAAATGAAAACATAAATAAAGTCGTTTGAAATAAATCTTACCTCTTGTTGCCGGGAGCATAACTGGACATAGACAATGTTGCTTTTATTTTACGAGGCGTATTTTTTGTAGAAAAAAATTTATTTGTAATACTTAATAAAACACTTTCGTGTTTTGCATTTACGCGATGCATCAATATATGCGTGATAACCGCTAACGAGGTAACAGCAACTCTGTATAACAAGCAATGTATAACGGTCTTTGTCACTTTTAGCACAAACCAGTAATTATTTTACAAATTGCCTTCTGACTTTTATATACAACAAATTTTCATTAATAGATTTTTTCTTCGTTCAAACATTTTAATAAAAGAGAACTTTTGTTTAAAAAAAAGAAAAATGAAAAAAAGACAAATGTCATTAATAAAAAATGAAAAACATTTTTTTCTCTCAATGTATTCAGTTTAGACAGCGCGGCTTCTTTTGATAATATGTGCGGGGCTTAAAATACGAACAGGTTCCCTTTTTTCTGCGTGTAATGCGGTTGACCGGATTTCGCTTCCTATTAAGGTGCAAAGACGACTTCACGTTGTGATTCCTGTGGTGTTTCTGAATCTATGTATATATACAATTCTTCCATTGTCCTTTTTTTAGTATTTCAATTGTTGTATGGCTCTTGTTTCATTTTATTTGAAAATTATTTTAAATTACACGGTTTGTATTCTCTTTTTCTCGATATATATATACTGTTTCTTCAATTTAAAAAGAATGAAAGAAGCCTCTTCCTATGAATTTTTTTCAATAATTATTTATCAATTTTTTTTTCCATATTATTACGAATTTTTTTGATTAATGGGGTTAAAAATATGAAAGTATGACTAATCTGAAAAGGACGGGAAAATCTCTTGGTGGCATAATTGTCACCGGAAAAAGGTTGCTAAATGTGGGTGGATATAGCAAATTGTCCTTCGTCTTTCTAACTACTGCTGCCGCCTTGTAATGACCACTGCGCTCCTCTTTTGGGGACGTTAAATTCCATTTCTGGTAATATATATTACAGTTTCGTTTTGTCTATACTTCTACCATAGTGCAACAAAGTTCTTCTCTGTAATTTGTCGCTAACCGTGAATTTCGACAGGTAAACTCTTCGCCCTTTCTATGTAATTAGTGTTGAGTTAAGTGTAACACAAAACTAAATATTCATCTCGTCAAAGTCAAAAATTTAAAACCACCATAGTTTTAACTCTCCTAATATTAAGAGCTTGTCAAATTGATTTCAACCCTGTCTTGAAAAAATTTTCCCAGAAAAATTCGCGTGAAAATTGTCAGTTTCCATTTGACAGAAATTCATGTAACCCAATTTGTCATTTGACTAAACTGTCATTTAACAAAATTAAAATTAAAATTAAATATCAAAATTTAGTCTAATAACCATTTTTAATTTTTATTTAACAAAATTTCCGAATTTTTCTATTTCTTTTATTCAAACTTCATTTTTGCTCACATTAGGTTTTCAAAAATTGATCTAAGAGATTTATCTTAATGAAAGAAATTTTTTTCTATTTTAAAGTATTATTTCTTCTATACACTGAAACAATAAAATTAAATTTACGAGTTTTTTGATAATTTTAATGTGAAGAAATGTCATCCTCTTTCGTGTCATATAAAATGTCTAACGTCAAAAAAAAAGTGTTTCCTATTAGTATTTCTGCTTTCATGATGCTTCAAGTGGTATGTCACACGCGCATTATTGAAAGTGATCACTGAAGACTTTTAAGAGTTTTTGAAGATAACGCGCGCCTCCAAAAACGTCTGCATCTTTTTTTTATACACTGTGTACATATATGTCGGCGATCTCAAAGCCGAATGGGGTGTCAAGAACGCATCATGATACATCACACGAGCCCTTTTTCTCGCCCTAATTCTTCAAAGCATTTTTGAGTATATCTTTCAATAGTCTGTTGATCGTCGGTCCCTTTTTTTTATATCATATATATAAAATGTTCAGAAATCTGGAATATCGAACCGCGCTCAGCAATAAATTATATCGTAAATTTTTACCACTGGATCTTAATAGAATTTAGATATGATTTATATGCGTTAAATTAAAAAGGATTTTTAAACGAGAGAATGAATCATCTTTTGAGAAGAATGGAATTTTTTGTATAAAAATAATTTTGGGTATTTATATTTTGTTGAACATTTCTCTACATGCAAATATATGTAACCGAATATTGTATGGGATTTACGAATACCTAAGATAAAGTTATCGCATCTGAAAACGCATTTGAAAGAAGAGCTTTGTTTCGGATGCTGGGGAGGATTGTTGGGAATTATACCAACATTTTGCGCTTTGAGGTGGCGCTACAAACTTCATAATTTCAAATTGCAGACCCACCTCATACAGGATGCAGATGTGAGGCTATCGTTTTAATATCATTTCTTGTTAAAATTACACTTCCTTTTATATTAAATCAAAATAAATACCTTTTAATGAGATATTTATTTTTAACATTTATTTTTATATATAATACAAATCAATTAGTAATAATAATTTATAACAAAAAGTCCAGTAAAATTCATAAAAAATTTTACTTGAATTTGTAGTAAATTTTGATAGACTTTTGCAAAATAAGAACTACAATGATTTGAAATTTGGAAGCGGGAACCCTCAGTTAATACGATAATCAGCTTCCACGAAGCACTTTGCCACCTTAGCATATAAAAGACGAAGGGCCCTTCGGCAAAAGAGTAGTTGGGCTTCTGCAATGTACGCGAAGATATATAATACATCGCACGTTTCTCTTATAAGCTATATTGACGTTTTACAATGAATGATTTACTTTCTAACCGTTACATCTAGGAGTTAATTTGCCAGTATACTTAATTTAACCATTTACGCTCTTCGACAGTTGATAGACCAGCAGTCACTTTAAAATTTCCTCGTAAACAATACCATTCCTCCATAAGCGGTACATTTAATAATCAATCTTTTTAGAAAAAAATATCGATAGGAAGAGACAATTTTTATATAAACCAGTAAAGATTTTTAATTTATTTTTTAAGTAAAATAATGTCAGTTTGACGTTTGGTGGTAAATAAAGTAATTAACGGTTTTTTTAAAAAACCTTTTACCCCTTTGGAATTACATGAAGGAAAACCGCCCTAAAAAATTGAAAATTGAGATGTCTCCAACTGCGTAATAAATAACGTAATGTTGATACCTGGTTTTAAATTCTCGAATTGAATGGATCGCGGTATAAAGTACCACCGGTTAAAATCACATAATTCGTCACTCCTCAAAAAAAAGACCCCATAGAGTGTCTGCCTATGGCGCTGCTTGTGTGGGATTTCTTGTATGTACTTCACTTTCGATTTTTTTAAACATTTATCATTCTGGACTTAAAAAATCGATTTTAAATTGAAGAAAATTTCCCTTTCTTTCTTTCGTATAAAATAATGGTAATCACGAAAATCGTAACTTTCTTCCCTTAAAATAAAATATACTCTTTCATACTAAATCTCAGTAAAAGATTATAATTAATATTTCTCTAATCTAAATTTAGAATCTCGAAATTATTTTAAATTTTCCTAAGAAATTGAGATATAATCACCACCTATGTCAAAAGTTTAAAAAAAACAAATGAAAAATGAACAACTCGCGGAATATGCATAGAATAATCGTTAAAATGAGAGCAACGTCTTTATTAATTCAAATACATATTCATTGCTCGCAGCTTGAGACTTTTTAGGCTTATATATATGTTCTCATAAATTATCGCTTGTTGCTGATGCATAACATGTTATTTGCCACTACTGAGATCCACAAATGAGTTCACTTTATATTTAATTACTCGACTCACGCCCAGGGCGTATCCTCCTCGCGGGACCACCTTGTTGTCAGAAAGACCCTAAATCGAGACTGACCGCCCTGAAAGGACTATATATATATATTTCTTCAATAGGCTTCGCAAACTCGCGATGGACCAAAAAGATTCCTCGATGACTGATAATATAGAGTAAAAGAGTGTATAAACTATAGTAAAAATAGTTCGTCTAGAGGGTCCAGTCCTAATTATTAGTTTCACCGCGATTCCATTTTTCGAAACTAGAAGTTAAAATAGATGAAAGCAATCAATTTTTTCGTTTTTAAAAAAAGGGAAAAATCGGTCTAGGGGTAATAAAAACCAAAAGTAGCCGATTTTCTCTTTTGACAGATTACTAAAATTAATATTTCTAAAACTATATAGAAATTTTTAATTGAAATAAATCAAAAACAATTTTTTGTTTCAGAACCATGCACGTGTATCATCCTTTCCGAATATGGTGAGTACTTTTAAAATTAAATTAAAAATTTTTAGAAAAGAAAATTAGAAACGGCGCGAAGAGTTTAGTTTCAAGTAGGCTAAAGAAATTATAAAGATTTCCTTTCTCGCTTTCCACGCGCGTAAAATAGTGAAACGACAACGACGACAATTAATTGGATAATAAAATTCATCGTCATTCGCTCTTGAAACTCCTTTTGAGAAGAGACCGTGAAAATGATTTGGTTATCTTAAATTATATATGAACCCTCGTCTTCTTTTAATAACTAGTCAAAATGCAAAAATATCGATGAAACAGATAGTTATGTTTTCAAGTGCTTCGATCTTGAAAAAAAATTTTTGATAGACGCTTTACCGTCTAACACATCTTATACGATAGACAGTTTTATTGTTTCCAAATGTATACCTTTAATATGCATATATATGGTAGCATATATATACGATCGTATAGCCTATAATTTTCTTGACTGCTAGTCACTCTGACGTTATGGATTTCTTTTCACTTTGACAGTCAATAATATTTTTCTTCGATTTTGTAACTGATAAATAATTAATTTATTTCGAGGACCCTGAAAATTCTTCATTGGATCAATATAAAGATCTCTTATATTAATTTATTCAATTATTCTTTGGATTAGGAGATTTCGATTCTTTTAAGATCTTTAAAGTTGCAGTGGCTAAAAAAGAGGACGATGCACACGCATTTTTAAAGTCCGGGATTATCGTTCTGCTACTTAGGCCGAATTTTTTGGGGAACAGGGCGATCGCGAAATCCAAGAAGGCTATGCGAAAGGAATGACAGAGATCGGGTTGCTTCAGGACCACCGTCGCGTTCACCGCAAACTTTATCCTACCTGTTTTCGTTAATTGAGCGAGTAAAGATGTAACTGGACCTTGCGCTCCCAAGGTATGTGCACCCTTTTTGCCCCACAGATACAATCTATTTTTCTTTCAACGTTAAAACCTCATCTCTCTCTCTCTCACGCGAACAAAAGACTTGTCACTGACAAAAATTCATTCACATGTTTCTCAAAATATTTGTATTCGTTCGTTTCGTCTGACTTTATAAAAAAAAACATACAAAAAAATAAAATACTATTTTAAAAAAATGTCTACTACACTCAGAAAAATATGCTATTCACTGTAAAAAGAAAGTCTTATTTTAAGGCCGAAAAGAGGTCTTATTGTAAGAGGCAACATTTTTAAGGCAGCTTTGCTGAATTTACGCAATGCAATTCCCATTAGAACTACTAGCGCTGATTTTAAGACTAATCTTAAAATAAGATTTTCTTTTTACTGTGTTGAATCAATAGCATATTTTTCTCAGTGTATTTGTCAACTAGAAGAAATTATTTGAAAGTTTATTATAAAAGTTATATTAATAAAATATCGCAATAGTGAACAATTATAGCTACTTAAGAGATAATATGCTTTTCCTTCAAGGTTGAAGGAAATAATTTTTTTCGAGAAGTTATAAACTCAGGTCGGAAGTCGATTGTAAGATGCTCTTTTCTCAATAGAAAACAATCATCGAATTTCTGCACGTGCCAATCAAGCGCCAGTTTAAATTACTGCTGACCTTTCTCATCAGCGGAAGCTGCTTTCAGCAACAATACAAAAGCCTTCAAGGGAGAGGTCTATTCAAAGAAAGATATTTGCAGGTTGTACCTACACATATATATACCTATAACTATCAACAAAGGAGTATATTTTCGTTCGCACGACAGACCTTGAGGGATTTTTTAACTTCTCATCTTCCTCTGACTATATATTTTTGTATGAGTTGATACAAAACTCATATAGTTTTAAAAAATCGTTTCTATATACCATTAAAAAGGAGCTTTTATTTAGACAAAATGGTGTTCTTTGAATTTTCTAAATACAGTGACACACAGTATATTTATAGATGAAAGGGTTAGAAAAATATACTGTATAATTGGCATATATTATCAGAAATTGTTCGTGACGAAAAGTAATTATTAGACATTTCTTTTAAAAATCCGCGTGGTAAGATAAAAAAAAAAGTATTGTGATAAAATTGTAGTGGTATTTCTCTTTCTATTCTTCTATTGTATTTTTGTTGAAGCGAAATTTCGCCACTTTTAGGACTATACAATAGTTTGACTGTTGGCACCTTCGTTTACCATTTTGAAACCCTAAAATTAAAAATAATAGCTCGAGGTTTTTTTTTTGTCGAGCGAGTCAATGAAAGTAGTCTACAAAAACCAAACGACAGATACGGGTCATTATATATGTAGAATATATACTTACATATAGAGAAGCTGAATCACTAACGATGACTAGAGAGGAAGTGCAAAATTGACAGGAGAATAAAGTGTACCGTCGACAAGCATGCAACACGATGATAAGATAAAATTTCTTTGCAAAAATTTTTCATAATTTAAATTTATATGCAAGGAAGAATTGTGTGCATTATAATATTGAGAGTATATCGTAATAGCATCATTCAATATAATGTATAATAATAGAGTGACGCATCAATTAAAAATTACAGTTTAAGGATGGTTTCATTGTTATATATTTCTTCAAATTTATTACATTTGCTAGTTTTGTATATAACATTTACTTTTTGTCAAAAGTTCCGTATTTATCCTAATTGGTGGAAATTAAATCATTAAAGATTTTCTATTAATATAAATATTAGATTAACAAACAGTTCAGCCTTCGTAATATGACAATCATATTCTTTTGTTAGGAATCTATATTTACTTTAGATTCGATGATTTCCCTGTTATGATTAGGACTTGATTCACTGGAATAACATCAAAATAATGATAAGCAAAAATTTGGTGTTTTTGCTCTCAAGGATCAAATAACATTTTTTTAAACTTAAAACTGTACTGAGATAAAATGTTGTTAAAGAAAAAATAAGCTAAAATAAACAGAAAAAATATAACACTTGAGTAATCAGTATACTGATTATAGTACGGAATTTCTGACAATACTGGAAAATCTTTAGTGAAGCATTTGTATACTTATACTATACTGGAACTAATAAATTTTGTTTCTACAACAAATCTGTATTGTTGCACCATCAATAAATTACTACAACAAATTTTTAATAATGCAAAATTGTTGTAACAATAAAATTTTGTTGTAGTGACAAATATATTGTTAGTGCAATAATACAGATTTGTTGTAGCGATCAAAATTTGTTAGTTCCAGGTTTAGTAAATATACAATTCATTTCTTATTGGATAATTTTTATCTCCCAGTAGGTTTTGAAAAAAACTTAGGAATCGGTTAGACAATCACATGTCGAGGAATGTTATGCAAAAAAGCAAAATCATTAATAATCTAAGATTAGGTATAAAACATAAAATGCAAAATAAATTGTCAATTCATAAAATACATATTCGCCTTTATAGAAATCAAAAATAAAAACTCTATCTGTAGAAATGAAATAGCCATCAGAGAGAACATCTTGAAAGCTATTTCTCTCCTCAAGTGCAATGACTCTCAGCTATACGTGGTAACAGTTAAATGATAAATAATTTCATTCTCGTGAATCGCGATTTTTCCCCTTTGAAAAGCATGGGACCGCTATATACAACGACGTCGTCTCTTTCAATGACATTGACCTATACGATAATCGAGATGCAACCGCTGTTTTCTCATCGACGGAACACGTGCGTTCCGTTCATCTTCTCGTCATGCGTAATTACATCTTCGGCAATGGGTAGTTGGAAAAGTGCGCATTGCGCATAACGCACATACTGACTAAGCATAAGTCAACTCATACAGGTAGCACACAAGTCGCACCCTCGTCATCTCCCTCTATGGTCGTGCGACTTGAGCTTCATACGTATATGTGTAATACCTATCTGGAATTGCTATACAGGCGCCGGGCCACCTGTTGCGTTTGCTTCTCTCTTGGGCCGAACCACTGGGTTCCATGGTGGGGAACCGTTCGCTTCCCATTGGTCCTGGGGCACGTGCTGCCAAGGGTGACTCGCTCCCCAAGTGCATAAATCGACCGACTCACATCCCGGCTCCTCAGAATCTTCTCGTCCGTCGAGAAAGTTATTTCGAGTCTTATTTTTTCATAACAAAACAAAAATATCGTGAAAAATACGTGGTTTACGTTTTTTTGTGTTTCCTGTGAATTCGTGAGAGTACTGATCACAAGAGAGGAAAAAAAATAATAGTGAGCCATGGAATTACAAGAGATGTTCCGTTACGGATATATGTATCCACCGCAAGAGGATGTTACCCCAACTTATTTGGAATTGCCCAACTATCCTTATTTAAAGAAGGAAATTTGTCTACCACCAGTTAGTACATTGACAGTTCCACAGTGTGTACCATATGACAATAGTAGCGATGGTTGGCATACACCAAGTCCTGCGGCTAGTTTGAGATCCGTCAGTCCAACCACGACATCCGTTTCCTCAGAGTCCGAGAGCGGAACACTCATCACCGGAAGAAGGGGGTCGAACTTTCAACATGAGAAAAGATACGAGACTCTTTCAGTTTCCGTCAATTCAATGAATCGAATCCAACATTATCCACATCATCATCATCATCATACAGTTTTGATGCAAGATGACGTACTGGAAAAGGAGAGATCGTCGAGACAAAGTGTTATCAGTAATGGTAGTAGTCTTGAGGATAGAATGGACCTTGAGGAGAGCGATGGTGCCGAGAGTGAAAATGATCAGGAATGTAATGAGCCAAGGAGACGAGGGAAATATGTGAGTTCAACGATTGTTAAGAAGAGAAGATTGGCTGCCAATGCACGTGAGAGACGAAGGATGCAGAATCTTAATAAGGCATTTGATAGACTAAGAACTTATCTTCCATCGTTGGGTAATGACAGGCAGTTGTCAAAATACGAGACACTGCAAATGGCACAATCATACATTACTGCCTTGTATGATTTACTGCAGTAGTTTATTCCGGAAGAAGAGTGATTTCTGTACATAAAAGGGAGAATCCAGAAGACTTCTGTGATACATTATTGCAAAAAAAAACTCTTTATAATGATAGTGGAGTTGATTGCGTGGATCGATATATATTTTTGTAAGATAATTTGTATAGATATATATTTATAAAAATATTTCCAAGTTTCTAGATTAGAAACAATTGTAAATTTTGTAAATTGTTTTCTCTTCATTGTAAATTTTATTTGAGATTAAATAATTCATTTTGACTTTGATAAAAATCAAATTTTCTATTGTTGATTGCTTTCTGATGTCAATATATATAAAGAAAGTTGCTCAAGAGGCAAAATTTGCCATGTAATGTTTTGTACCATTTACCTACTTTTGTAGAAAACGACACAAAATTACATTTTTCATGCTAAAAAATATAAAATTGTTTTATAATTTTGCTAAATTTATTTATAAATTTTTCTATATTGAATTTTTGATTCTCGTATATTCTATTTAATATCTTCGACTGCAAACATGTAAACTGCGCCAGTACTTAAAATCATCTGCTTTTCTCCGATTTAATTTATTGATCTAATTTTTGACCAATTTGACATTCTTTTTTGTAAAAAAAAGATATTTGTGCAATTTCAAAATTGTAAAATAATTAAAATCTGAAAAAGTTGTTTATTAGAGAAAAGAAGTAGATTATATACCTTTCAATATAGTTCTCATATATATTTTTTCAAGTTTAAAAAAAGATTGATCTCTGTATATATTTTTATATATTAAACATTTTCATAGTTTAGGTATTTATATAAAATATTATGTGTCGGCAACGACCTGATTATTATAACATCGTACGAGACTGAAATGCATAATTTGTAAAAAAAATCTGTTAATAAATTTTCTACTTGAACATATTTATATTTTGTTATTAATTTAAATATTTAAAAAAAAATATTTACCATTTATATTTACCTTATAAAATTATTTTAAAATTACATATTAATTTTGAAATATATTTATAATTTGGCTTAATTTGCAAATGATGTGGAAAATTGGATTATAAACTAAACCAATTTTTCTCTTTTGTATTTGTAAATTCGTGGGCTTGTTTTCTGGTTGAATTAGGCTTCTTCTTCTTTTTCTTGTTTGGCAGGGTAGTTTTCGTTCTCGCAGGTGTAATTTTCATTGATCGTCGAGCGCATCGCCAAGGTTGAATGCATAAAGTCCTGTGAGAGATCATTTCGACTATAGGTATATATATATATATATATATAGAGTTCACGAGTTCATAAGCCTAAGAGGGATAGATGTTCGATGGAAGAACAACGTCATCGGTGGTCCCGTTGTCATTTGAAACCAACGACGCGCCGGTGCCCAATTTCATCGCAATTTGAGAACATATCGCCTTCCGCCATCCCAAAAAACTCTCCCAACGTTTATTAAAAGTTAGGCAATATCCGGGGGCCCACTCACAATTCGACGTTTTTGCGATAATTTATTCATATACTCAAATTTAATTACATATTTAACATTTTAAGTACATGTTTAACACGTGTTTATTTTTTTCGATAATTTTGCCACTACGGATTTTAATCGCACTTTTTTCAAATAATCATAATTATGATACGATATTAGAAAAAATAATAATGATAAAAATTAGGCTAAATTAAAATGAGTGATAAGATAATTAAGAATAAATTTCTGAACAGTATTGAGGCAATTTAAAACAAGTTTCGTATCAATCATATCATTAATTACCTTATCAGAATAATTACACTCTTGACACTCGACGATGGAAAAGTAATAAACTACCCTCGGGTATAAAAAATGAAAATTACTTGAAACTCAATAGTAGTAAAAATTTTATTTGTTGTCATATACGATCATTGTCTTATGCTATTCATCACAATTACCAAGCGACAATATAATGATGATAATGACTACTGGAATCAAATCGAATTAATACAGAATTATTTTTATTTAATTCTGCATTTATTGGAAAAATTTTTATAAAAAAAATATTAAAACTCCTACTTGGAATCTTTTAAGAGAAAATTATTAAAGAATGCGTTATATACCACACGTGTGCGTTTATATGAAAATCTTTAGATAATAATATGGTAACACCTATGAACAGTTTTCTAATTTTCATTAATGTTAAAAGTAACACCGCCTTTATATGTACACCCAGTGGAGTTGTTCAAGGTAAATCATATTCTTTCTTTATTATTTAATACCCTTTAATTTGTTACTTTTATAACTATAATAATAACAACAACTCGCGTACGCTTAGATATGAACTGACAAAGTTCCTTAAAAAGGTACGAAAAATTTTCTCTTGCATATCTATCATTACCTTGAACCACTTACACGGATGTATGAGTTCAAGTATATATATACATATATGCTTTATGATGCGCCGCAACGGTTTTATGAGTTCTGAAACGTGTCTAATTGAATGAATCGCAAAAGTTGCGACGTTACTACCGTATGGACAGAGAGAGGAGGAGGAGCGAGTTTTCCATACATGGTGTATTATGATTTTACAACTACTATACTCGGAGTTATTTAAATTCCATATCTTGGCGAAAAGCGGTATACATGTATACCGACAATGTGCCTGTTAATGCCTTTTCGCCGATCATCGTAATCCCTTCTGTTTTTAGCTTCCAGAACTCAACGCCTTTACACCCATGAACTTGAAACTTTATTGCAATATTCAATACATAATTTTCAACAATATGTTTTTTTATGATACACTCTTAAACGTGCCTATATAATAAGTGTGAAAAATATTTTATTATGAAATATTGATTTTTAAAAAGCACAATTTATTCATAAATTAGCGAAATAGAAAAAAATTCCTAAATTACATATTTATTTCTATGACGGAAAAAAAATGTTTCCTGAAATATTTCTTTATAATTTTTTATTTAATTCAAAAACTGAATTTTAATTTAGCAGAATTCTTATTCTTTATTTACGAATTGTTCCCCTTTTTTTCTACCAGATTAAAAAATGTAAAAGTAATTAAAAAGAGTATAAATTTTCACTGTAATTAAAATTCAGTTTTCTCTCTTGACTTGAACTTGACATATATTTATTAAAATGTGAGATATTTTTTTTTATAACAACGCGGTTTTTCTTCTAAATTTTTATTGGTCTCCACTTGGTTGTGTGGAGAGATTCAAATGACTTATTATGAGGAAAGTTATGAGCGCAGAAACGCGTTAAGTGTTGTGCTACCACCAAGGCAGCGTAAAGATGCGCGCGTTCTTTCCACTGAAATGAACCGCATTATAAGCTTATAGCTTTATGCGCAATTCATGTACACCGACTAACCGTTGACTTTCAAGCTCATCCAATGCATCGCCACCCCACTATATCTATATGCTTCTACATTATAATATTCCGCCACACACAGAATCATGTTCCACGTTAGAGAAAGATCGTTTGTAAATGTTGAAAAGACGCATGGCATCATTTTACGGTATTCTAAATTTTTATTAGTAGGCTATATTCGACCATAAAAAAATGACGAGTAAGCGACGAAAATTAAATGATATCTCCATGCAATTAATATTTTTATTAAATCATAAAAAGATACATTTTAATAATACACTTTAATTATAATTTTAATTAATAGTATGAACATATAATATTTAATGAAGAACATTTTTAAAATAATTACCCTCCAATTTGTTTCGAACAAAAACTTTCTGATTTATCCCACTTATGTTTAGTTTCGGAAATATAATTTCATTTTCCAGTCTATAAAAAATCAATCCTTCCGGTTTGCAACGATATTATATAGCGACTCATCGGCATTATTTTTAAGGGTTAATTATTTAGAATGGAAAAATTTGCACTGTAATAATAAAACAAATTTTTCAGTCGGCATCACAGTGAAAAAAAAAGAAGGCGGGATAAAAGACGAAAATGCATATAGGGATCGTAAACCTTTCGGAAGGATCCTTTTGGGTAGGCGTTTACCGAAAAACTATTATAGAAAAGTGCCGACGACATTCTCCAGTTTTTCATAATCCCATAGGGTCAAAGAAACATATAGTCACACGAAGATGATGCATTAACATCTCATTTTTTTTCTAAATTGCGGTGAAACATTAATTTTTCATTTGACAAGTTTTAACAAACAAATTCTGCAATTGATAAATAGTCCTATTTGGCCTAAATTTTAATTTGTTTATTTAATCTATCAATTGTGATAATAATTTTTATTTAAACAATTTATTTGATTTCCATTAATTCTTATGTATGTCTAATTTTAAATTTGCATTGGGAAAAATTAATCACACAAAAATTAATTGAGCCATATAAAACATTTTGTAGTTTTGTCAAGTACCCATAAAAAAACATCATTTGTAGTAAAAATAAAGAAAGTTTAAAAAATCTTTTGTAGACAAAATCGGAAATAATTGAGAATGCTTTTATTGTTTTTGGTAAAACTATACACAGAAAGTTTCAATAGAGGAAACCGAATTTTTTTCCTCATCATATCTACGAAAGAGGTAGATTTTTTTGATGCGGTATATACCATTGAAAATTAATTACACGCTAAACTATTAGCTAATAAGCAATTTAATAAAAAGGTTCGTTTTTGAAGACCTTTTTGACCTGGCGCGAATTTACGTAACACGTGTGCTCAGTACTTTTATATTATTATATCATAAGCGTGAATAACGTGGGAGTAAAAAAATTGTGGTTGGGACACACACGATGGATGAAAGTGGGTTCATACATGTTTTCGATGTTCGAGTTTTTCATATGGGGGTGAACATATTATAAGGGGTGTGGCATATACCCGAGGGTTCTCGATAGAAAATTGAGAGTAATACTACGCACTATATACCAGAAATAAAAATACTATAAACTTGTATCACGCAATGCCAAATGCCCAACGATCCGTTGATATCTTTCTCAAAGTAATATATCCCAGCAGGACATTAATAATTCTCACCTTTAATCGGTTCACATATGTAAAAGAATATTACATAATTCTTTGTATAATATAAACGAGTGATGCTGAGATGCATTTTTCTCCCTTTTATACTAAATTTAGAGAAAAAAATAGAATATGAAAAAATTTTCTTATAGAGCGGAAAAATGGTTTCCCAATGATTTTTTTATGACTCAATATTTTTGAACTTTAAAATTCTATAGATAATAATTGTCTGTTGTATAAGTATTTAAGATCCTGTTAAAAAATATTCAATTACTTCATTGTTTTGGAGCTTTTTGAATAATTTTAAAACCTTATCGTATTTTAGTATTAAAGAAATGAGACAAACCACCTGTTAAAAAAAGAAAGTCTTATATAGATTCCCAGATGCCGTCAAAGATAAGGCGGATATTTTTTCCAAAAAGGATCTTGAGAAAAAATCAAAGATCGATCGTTAGAATTTTTATGAACGTAATGAACAATATATGATAAAATTTTGCCACTGCTTTCTGAAATGGTCGATTTTGGAAACGAATAAATTATTAATATAATAGTGCGCGAGAAGCTGTGAAAGGCTATTACAAAAAGTAGAGCGGCACCATATAACAATCGTAAATATCGGAAATTGTTCAACATAATCAGGTAAAAACACTTTCAGTTCTCGTGCGCATTTTCAATACCCTT